TGGCATAATTCAAAGGCACTTTGTAAAAAATATGTATCAAAATGGAGCAACTTCATTTTCTACAATCACCAAAGAGTAAGACATAGCAGTTCAAAATCTACAGTAATAACAAACGATGATGTTGATGATCCACTTCCTAAAGATGTAAAAGTTGTTATCTGTGGTGGTGGAGTTATGGGTGGTGCAGTTGCTTATCATCTTTCACTTATGGGAATGGGTGATCAGACAGTTATTATAGAAAGCGGCAGGTAGATGTTCTTCTTAACTTACATAATTTTAAAATATTCAATATTACATGTTTTGAAAAAATTTAATTTACTTACTCTATTTCTTAAATTTAGAATTGGAGGTGGAACAACATGGCATACTTCAGGATTAGTTGGTGCATTCAAGCCAAGTTTGGCGCAGGTTAAGCTTGCTCAAGATAGTATAGCTTTATACAAGGAATTGGAAGAAAAAGGTTTAGCAACTGGCTGGAAACAATGCGGTAGTCTTTCTTTAGCACGCACAAGGGATCGTATGACTGTATTTAGACGCATGAAAGCACAGTCCATGTAAATAATTAAAATTACCTATATAACTAAATTATAAATGAAATGCTATTGTAAATTTATAAGATATCGAGCAAGTATAAATATTCAGTGGAATTTGAAATTTTCTTTAGATCTCGTGACATTGAATGTCATTTAGTTACACCGAAGCAAGTACAAGAAATATGTCCCTTGTTGCGAGTAGATGATTTAGTTGGTGGATTATGGATCCCAGATGATGGTGTAGGAGACCCATATCAAATTTGTTTAACATTAATAAAAGAAGCAAAAAAGAAAGGTATATTCAACCTTTTATAAGTATAAATATATATTTAATTTGTAGACATGGTCAATTTGTAAATTTTATAGGTGTAAAAGTATTCGAGAACTGTAAAGTTACAAAAGTAGTTACACAAAATGGTAGAATTGAAGCTATTGAAACAACACATGGTACCATTGAGTGTCAACATTTTGTCAATTGTGCTGGGTTTTGGGCACGTAACGTTGGTAAATTAAGTGAACCATATGTAAAGGTAAGTAACTATTATTAATTATAGATAAAGTGTTTGTATATAAATCATTAAATTTTTTCTAATATCTACTACTCAGGTACCACTTCATCCTGTTGAGCATTATTATTTACACACACAACCAATTGATGGCTTAGATCCTATGACTCCTGTTATAAGAGATTTAGATGGTTACATTTATTTTCGAGAAAACAACGGGAGATTATTAGCTGGTGGTTTTGAACCAGTCGCGAAGCCGGCATTTGAAGATGGAACAATACCTGGTTAAATATAAATTTTTACTTTTCATTGCTTCGTTACGCATATATGAGATGTAAATCTAAAAGCAATTATGTTTTAGAGAGCACAAATGAAAGATTTTTACCAGAAGATTGGGACCACTTTCATATTTTACTCGAACAAATGCTTTATAGGATTCCGAATTTAGGTGATGCGGTTTTGGAAAGATTATGTAATGGTCCTGAAGCATTTTCTCCAGATTGTAAATGGATTGTAGGTGAAGCACCAGAAATACGTAATTATTATATTGCAGCTGGCATGAAAACTGTAAGTAGTTTTAAACTGTGCTTCCGCTGATAGTGAAATATTTATTTACATATCTAATAAATCTTATAGGTCGGTATATCAGCAGCAGGTGGAGTTGGGCGAGCAACAGCAGAATTAATAGTCAATGGTTCGACATCTCTAGATATGTATGAACTAGATGTGTCACGCTTTTTGGGCCTTCATAACAATCGAAAATTTTTACGTGACCGAGTAAAAGAAGTTCCTGGTATGCATTATGGATTACAATATCCGCATCATGAATTCAAAATAGGCAGAAACTTGAGAATGTCACCAATTTATCCAAAACTTAAAGAAGCAGGAGCTATTTTTGGGCAGGTAATGGGATACGAACGACCAACCTGGTTTCAATTAGATGATTATAAGGGTAGGTCTATCATTGTATGTATGTATCCAAACGGACAAATTTATAATTCCAAATTGAAATTGTCGCATAACATACGAAATTCGTCTGTAAAATAGTCTTATTGCAAAAGTGAAAAACTGAATTTTATTATACAGATTGCTTTGCTACACAGATTTGGAAACAATTGATGGCTTTCAAAGGTATAAGATAGCATACACAAATACATTTAATAAACCACCATGGTTTGAACCGGTACATGATGAATACGCTGCATGCCGTGAAACAGTTGGACTTAGCGACTATTCGTCTTTCACTAAAATTGACTTATGGGTAAGATATTATATTTATATAGACAATAAATAAATATACAGGTTGAGCCAATATAAATTACTATCTTGACAATTTTCGAAACTGTAAATCTTGAAGTAAAAATTGAGTGAAGGTTGAATAAACGTTGAGAAAAGAGCATGCTATTGACAAAGTTTGTAAAGTGTAATAGTCTACGTTAAAAAAACTAGAATAAACTTCACCAACTATATCTTTTATGATTATACATATAAAAATGTTGTTATTACCGTATAAGTAGCTGCAATATTATAGTTTCTGTAACTTCTGTAGTTCTGAAAACTTTTAATGTAGTAGTTTCTGTTGGATCATCCTACACATATGAATAGTGAATAGTATTATAACTCATGGAATTTTTTAGTCAAATGACTTGGAAGTAGTAGATCTATTGCAATACTTATGTTCAAATGATGTAGATGTACCAGTAGGAAGTATTATTCACACTGGTATGCAAAATGATCGTGGAGGCTATGAAAATGATTGCAGTTTGGCACGTATAGCTCCTAATCAGTAAGTAGGATGTATGATATACATAAAGTTTGAAATGTAATATACGATTATACATATATTTTTCTTCTAATATTCAAGTTACATGATGATCGCTCCCACTATTCAACAAACCCGCTGTAAACATTGGATTAATCGTCATTTACCTGCTGATGGTGCCGTTGCAGTGTCTGATGTGACATCTGCATATACAGCAATCTGTATCATGGGTCCTGCTACTAGACAATTACTTTCAGAATTAACCGATACTGATCTTAATCCTAGAAATTTTCCATTTTTCACTTTTAAGGTAACTATTAAACTTATGATTACATATGTAATTAAAATAGTTTTTATTACACATCCATTCTTTTCAAAGGAATTAGATGTTGGTCTTGCGAACGGAATACGCACGATGAATCTAACTCATACTGGAGAACTTGGCTATGTTTTATACATACCAAATGAGGTATGTATATACTTTCCCAGAAACCGAGAAATTCATATTTTCTTAAATGTTTTTATGAACATTAATAATACGTATGATACACATTTACAGTTTGCATTACACGTTTATACAAGATTAGTAGATGCTGGAGTTAAGTATGGATTAAAACATGCTGGTTATTATGCGACACGTGCGTTACGTGTAGAAAAGTTTTATGCTTTTTGGGGCCAAGATTTAGATACATTTACAACCCCCTTGGAATGTGGAAGAGCTTGGAGAGTAAAACTTGATGTAAGTATACCGTACAAAATATATTTGACAACATTTAAAGATTTGCATATACTGTAGAAAGCAGTAAACTTCATTGGAAGAGATGCTCTTTTGAGACAAAGAGAGGAGGGTGTAAAACGCAAGTACGTGCAGTTATTATTAAATGATCATGATCTTGAGTTGGATTCATGGTGTTGGGGCGGTGAGCCCATTTATAGAGACGGAAAATATTGTGGAATGACAACTACTACAGGTTACGGATTCACATTTAGAAAACAGGTATCAATACAATGTTTTGAATTAAATGGTAAACGCGTGTATTAATATTAATTTACTGTAATAAACATTATTTTAGTAAATTCTTTGAAAGAGCACAAAAATATGTAAAAACTGTAAATATATATTGTCTTATCTACGAAATAATTAATGATAGGTTTGCCTTGGATTTATACAAAACATCGACTCGCAAGGACGGCCCCAAGAAGTAACAAACGAATATGTATTATCGGGGACCTATGAAGTGGATGTGGCAGGTATAAAATTCCCAGCAAAATGCCACCTACATAGTCCAAATTTGCCAACCAAGTTCCCAGATAAGGAAAGAGACTCTTATCATGCAACACGTGATCAGCAAGTTGTGTAACGTCGACGATACAAACTCCGAAATGTGTACAAATAATGTATATAGAAATAAAATTAATAAATTACTTAATAAGCGACAATAATAAATCACTACTTCGTATTTATAGCAAAAAATTATGTAAACCACAATTTAATTAATCAGCTTTTATCTTCTCATAGCTACAATCCTTAAAAATTACATCAATGTATACTAGTAATTATATACTATATTACAGATTTCCAAATGCACCATACATTCTGCAAGTACTCCCTAAAATGACTTACATAGCACAACGTATTAATTTTGGTACTGACTTCATATACCACTTACTCATAGTACATTTATACTTGATTTTTAACCTAGAAAAATTCACTATTACTTCTGAACACCCTTTTGTTATTCTTGACTTACTTCCTCCGTCATTATTGATACGCATTATACTGACATTTGTGCTATAATATTACAATGTCATGGTAACATACTGTTTCAAGTACATTGTTCGAAAGACACGTTTTGTGAGGTTGAATGTTCGTTGCTTTTTTCGATCGATGCAACAATATTTTTATTAAAATATTAACATAATAGTAGTCTCACTTATCCTAGTTGAATCGATACACTTAATATACGATTATGCAGTATCTATCCACCAAAAGTTAAACCCAAAGTATAGTACATCTATTCGTACATTAACAACTTTTTACACGCGATTCTTATTAATTACGATCCTTCATTTTACTGTACACAAATCGACAATGAAAAATAATGCGTCCTATGACTTTGGGATCTCCGGTTCCGGAGTGGATTGTAATTGTTGAACCATACACGATTTAGCAACTGAATCGAACAGTCTGAAACAATGCAAATTGAAAATAGTAAAAAAATATAGTAGACAATAAGACGTGGAATATCAAATCGTTCGAAACATATGAACACTTACTTTTCCATTTCTGGTGCGCAATGAACAAACTCGTGCGCCCAGAACTTGTATGTAGGATTCTTGATAAGTTCGATGAAGGTGATCAGCAAACCCCAGGGATGTGGTCTGTTCACGATAAGTCTTTCCAGGAGGACTCTTGTAATTTGTTCTTGTATCGCTTCGGTGTTAGCTTCAGCAAACAAGTACAGAAGTGTGCAACTGAAATAATGCGTATGACTGTTGGGATACCGTAGTTGATTTGCGATCGCGTTTAAAAACAAGTAACGTCCTTCCGTATCGAGATCGACTGCCAAGTTTTGGAATATATCCATATGTGCAGAATGTGCGATAGTAGACATATTCGGTGTATGCCCTTTACTGCGAATGAAAGCTATAGCTTGTGTACCAACGTAAAGTACTAGGGCGTTCATTAATTGACTATTGTAACGAACACCGGCTTCTTGAGATACTTGTAAATTACTGCGTAGCTCGGAAAGGAAAGTGACCGGGGCACGTGCCTTTAAGTATGAATCTAGCTCCTTCTTGAAACTAAGCGGTTGTATCATGGACGCAAAGTTGGTTAATACTCGTGGAGCATGTGCTATCTCTGGTAGCATGTCGACCTTCAGGTTCGGCGTGAATGGATCGGGTAAGCGCATATTCCTTGGAAATGCGCTTAAAATCAGATTTCTCATTTGTATACAGTTGGGAGGAATTACGTCGCAGAATCCGTAGTGATAGTCACAAAGGAATTCCGGGAAATCGTGTAACAACACCAATATCACTCGAAGAGTTCCGTTATACAACAGAGTGACTGGTTTTGCAAGTTCGGCGTTTCGGAGGAAAGGCGCTAAGTATTTGAACAAATCGATCAAAAGCTGAGCGTACATTCCCCAACATTTCTGTTGCGGTGTAACCGCGAGCATACGTCCAATAAAAACTCTGTGCGAAACTAGCTCTAGCCAAGCGTAACAAAATCCTGAAGCTTTGGCCGGTCTAAGTATATGCAGAGTATGACAGAAAGCAGTCAATACTTGGTAATTCACTGCTTCCAATACTGGTTCGGGCGCGCACAGCTCTAAGAAGAGCATAATGAATATTCTGTGATAAGGCAGCTGTTGAAAATCAGTTCCGCGTATCTCGTGATCCTGCAGCAATACGCCAGCAACAATTCCCAAAACCTTATTCAGAAGATTGATCTTCGTATGAGTATTTGTACTATCGCCAGAATGTTTCACCAAAAGTGCGACCAAACGGACGAACGCGTCCAACGAATGGAAACACTTTGCACGAACGACGGATGGAGCTGCGTTAGTCTCGGCCAGAGCACGATAACACAGATCGACGCACATCTGTGTGCTCAACTTGAAAAATCTTGTTATGAGATCGTCGGTTTTTAAAATTCCGTGCATGTTCATTTGATGAACGAACATCCCGAAAGCTTTCGTGGGATCACGCGCGTGTGTCGGGTTATGATGCATCGATACCCATTCACGGAGCAAATACTCCGTCTTTTCCATTAATCCGGGAGGATCGTCGAAATCGCGTGCCTGTAAAGACGCGAATAAATTATACAAATTGCGAATACACGTATATTGTTTTAGAAATCTTAAAAGCGACGGAATTTACTTACTCTCACCTGAAGAATTCCCGAATGTATATGAGCGGTAGGTCCAGCTGGTGCTCTATCAGCTAATACACCTGGATCGTGATTAACGCGCAACGATTCTATTAAATTGGTCAGTCTGAATAATAAAATTCTATAAAAAAAAAAAGGAATTTCGATTCATTTCATTGTCAAACGAATTGTTATGTAAATCGAAAAAATTTATTTTATTAGATAATAACCCTTCTGGTGGTGCTCTGTGATGGGCCATCCTAGCCAGTATCTCAATTGTGTGGAATAAGTCGGATTCGGTAACGTGCGTAGTTTGTCTTTCATCAATTAAATAAAGTTGCACTAGCTGCATCGCGAATGCTGTTGCCATTGCATTTCCAGAATCCATAGCCTGAGCTAGGGCCAAGTCGTATTGTGGAAGACTAATTAGATGAGATCTGCAAGCAATGCGTAAAACTCATTTGTGTACAAAAATTTAAAAAAAGAATACTGTTATTAAAAGATGTTTTATTATAAATAATGTACCTTATGAGGTAATCGACAGCTTCAAAGTTATATCGAAATTCTTCCCTGCATTCTGTTAAACAACGAGTAACATGCTTGTTTGTCCACTGCATGCCGTAAGCACGCGGATCTTGAAGACACTTTAAAATACGTAAGTGTAGCTCCCTATATCGTAATATAAATTCGGAATCTGTCACACCGCTCGTGGGACCATCCAACAATCCTTCCACAGCCTAAAATAGTATAGTGTAGGTATAATAAACTGCAAATTATTTGTTAAACAGAGTCCACAATTTCAACAACTTTAAAAGAAAATAATATGAATCCGAACATTTTGATCGGTTCGACAGGTTCATTGTTAATTCTCATACGATATAATTTATTACCTTCTTGAGTAATGCCATTGCAGCGCCTGCATCCCTTGACCTTCGCGTTAAGATAATAGATTCTAGTAGACTATGAAGCGCGGCATGCTGTGGAGGTGGTGCAGCTGGACCCATTGCAGCAAGTAATACTTCAACATCGGCTGCAAGTTTTTCTAACATTGCTCCCACCTCATCGTTACTTACTGCTGCCGCATATGCAGCAACCTGTTGTGCTGTTACCGCAACCGCGGGATTAGCAGCGAATGCAGTTACAGCAGTTTCCTTTAAAATGAAAGTCTCCTAAATGTATACACATGTGATACTTAACTCGAGCATCTAAAATATCTCGCTTGTTTTTTATGATAGAAAAAAAACAAGCGAGATATTTTAGATGCTCGAGTTAGATGAGCCACCCTGTATATAATGCTTACGGTAACAGGTTTTGGCATCATTAGAGCTTGAGTATCACGTTCGGAAAGTGGCAAAAACCCAGGAATATTTCTCGCAAATTCTTCATACACAGCCATTTGCTGAGGGGTAACTCCTCCTACTTTCAACCTAATTTGTTCAGGCATTCTTTCAGCTTGGTATTTAGCTAATGGATCACAGTATCGTCGTCCCTCTTGACGCGCAATCTTTCGCAATTCAATTTCATTCAGCAAACGCTTATCCATTTCTGGAATAGCCTTCTCAATGGCGGTTTTTTGTACAAATGCACAGGCAAGTTCCATATTGTCAGCAGCCACTACATTGGCTGCTTGTTCTGCAAGCTCCTTCTGTTGCGGAGTTGTGCCCATCATCGAAGTGAGGAAAGCTTGCTTTAAGTTTGTACTAATTGACGCTAACACCTAAGAAAAACAAATATACACGATAGTATCGAATGAAAAATTAATCAAAAAGACAATTATGCGGTACGATAGTTTTTCAAAAATGTTACCTGGTCACGACAAGTAATCATAGCCATTCCGGCGGTTAAATTACGGACCATGTGTCTAGCCGCTGTTCTCATTCGAACCTCATCTGCATCTAATGCAAAATCTTTTCTTACAATTTGTTCGCTGGTAGTCAGAGCTATTTTAATTGAGCGGTCAACAACGGGATGAATCCATTCTTGAATTGCTCTCTCAACAGCTGGGCGAACAAATTGCTTTAAATGCGGATGTGTTTGAAACAATGGTAGCTGAAAAGTAAATGAATTAATTAGGGCATTAGGTAGATATTAAGATATAGAAATCATAAAGATGTGGAAAGATATATAGAAAGAAATAAAACGGATATAGAAATCAGACAAAGAATGATGAATACCTGATTATTAATGGTAATATGCTGAGCTATATTAGCCATGTTTACAGATATATCCATATAATTAAAGCGTGGTTCTGGTGGACCAGTAGGTAAAGACGGTGTCGTATTCGCAGGAGCAGGTTGCGGAACAATTGTTCCAGTTGGAGTTGGACCAACTAATTCTTCAATAGGCCCTTGCGTCTGTTGTGGATTGTTATTTGCCTCAGATTTTTTATTTGGATGCGACAATTGCGACTCTAAATTTCGCAACTTTTCTGGATCCTTCAAATAAAGTGCAGGCTTTAATTCCTACAAGTAAATGTGTCTCGATTAGTATCGTTTCAATGAAATGTATTATGGATGTAATATAAGAAATCGTATTACTGATATTCTTACAACGACATCAATGTTTAGATTCTTGCA